TTTTATCAATTTATAAAAAAAAAAAAAAAAAAATTTAATATTGTTAAACATTTTATTTTAAGCAGACAGACTTTCTATCAAGATACGTTGTTAAAACGCACTAAAAGTAAAATAATTTAAAATTTCTAAAAAATGCATGACTACGTAAAGAAAGACTGCAGAATTTAGATGAAGATTGGCACTTATGACTTATGATATATAATATATTAACAATTATTATAATTTTACTCACATAAGTTATAGGAGTAAAATTATAATTGTTAATATATTAATAATAATATTGTATCAATAGCACTAGGCTCACTAAGTCTAAGACACCGTAAGTTCCAGTAGTAAGTTAAGTAAGTAGGCTAAGCTAAGCTTTAGACTTAGTTTAGAATACTAAATGAACTTAACAATTAATTAACATTATAATTAAATACGTCATACTGACTAATAATTGAGGCATGTAAGTTTAGTAATTAGGGGTTCGTTCTCAAATTACGATACGATCAGGGGGAGGGGTGGGTCAAGAATTTGTGACACTTTGTCTTTGTGACAGGGGAAGGGGGTAAAAAATTTGTGACGTCACTTTTTTAACAAAATTTCTCATTTTGAATTTTTTTTTATTCAATTAATTTTAAAAAAAAACATTAATTTGAGGTCTAAATTGCCTCAGGTATTATAAGTGCCGTGAAAAACAGTCGCTCCCACCTGCACATATAAAAAAATGACCTAAAAACCGTTGTGGCCATTTTCCATTCTGCTTGGGGAAGACTTCGTTGTTTTGCGTTTTATGTCACAGTCACAGTTTCCTAATAATACTACATCTTAATCCATTTAGGGGAATTGTTAAAGAATATAATAAAATCTTAGTTTAGTTATGAACATTTTATGTTTGTTTTGAATTTTTTTAGGTGTGACGTGACACTAAAAAGTGTGTGGGGGGGGGGGGGGGGTATAGAATTTGTGACACTTTGTGACAGGGGAGGGTAGGAGTCTGAAAAGGTCATTTCTGGCGTGACGTAATTTGCGAACGACCCGTTAGCCTTAG